GCAAGCTGAGCAAGAAAGGCTGAAAGCATCCCCTGTGGGAGTAATCCATCACATTGGACCCCAGAAAGGTGAGTGTGTTGGGGCTTTCCATGATCTCCAGGAAACAGGAGAGACCACTTGAGATAACTCTACTGCCAATCTACAACCTAGGGCCAGTGAAGGATTTTTCCTCTCTTCATCCTTCCCCTGAACCCTTGGAAAATGTCCCTCAGGGGCACTTTGAAGTCCCACTGTAACAGTGTAGGTAATAGTCAATTCCCTTTGATTTAAAAGGTAATATTTATTTTCTCATCAGATTTTTACTCTACAGAATGGTTGCTCTGAAGCCTGACATGTATTACAAGTAATGGACGGAAGTGGTTTCATCATTAGTCTCCCATCTCTTCTAGGACTGTACTGGTACTACATAAGGGCATGCACATTACTGATATCGAGCTGGCTACGTAGTTAGCAAGATGCACTCACCAGGCCTATTCTACACACATCCGTTGCTTTGTGGGATGCATGTGGTCCATCCTCTCATCTTGGCTGGCCTGTGCACGAAACCAGGCTTCCCAACAGGCACCAGTCAATAACAGAGACCACAAGGCTTCTTCAGACGACTTCTGTTTTGAAAATCATGTTTTGATTTGTGAACCCGGAGGAATTCAGGGCAGAGGAAATGTTGGAAGAGGTCAGGCGAGCTGCGCTCCCTCTGCGTTACCCTGAGCAGCAAATAGCGAGCGTTCCAGGGCAACATCTGATTTTCTGCTTTTACGAGGCATATGTTTAGGAGAAGTGATCTGCTGTTTATTTTAATTGCCATCTTCTAAACCTCTTTTCTGTGTTCGCGCACACATTTGGAGACCATAAATAAGGATTGTTCAGGTTATGCCGTTATTTGGGTAGACAGCCCTGTCTTCTGTCAGTGCTCAGGCAGGTCTGTGTGCTGCAAACCCAGTTCCCCTTCTGCATCAGTGTTACAGTGGTGTAAATCAACTAGGTCTAATTCCTTCCTCAGTGACACTAGCATAAATCTGAAGTCACTCCACTGACGTCAGCACTGTAATAGCAGTGTGAAGGAACACTGGGCCGTCTTGGCTTCACAGCGTTGCTGCTGATTTACACCAGAACAAGAGCAAAAGTAGCGGGGCTCAGCATGTCCTAGCACTACGTAACTGAACAGCGGGACATGTGGGATACAGTGGTGACGATGGAGAACAACTCTGCTGATTTCACAGGCATTATGCTGATGAAAATTACTGGTAGCTTCACTGCAGATTGGGGCTAGGCGAGCTTCATCTAGCAGAAGGTTAGTGAAAAAAAAGAATAAGCCAACTCTCCCATGCACAATGATTTCTCCTATCACTGGTCACTACCCCAGGAGAGTTACCTAGGAGTAAATCTGTCCATTTGTCTTGACAGACTGCTCCCAGGTGGGTGTCAGGAAGGATCAGGGGCTGCAAACTGCAGGCATGCTGCATTAGCAGTAGCTCAAACTGCTGAGGGCCAGGAGGGAGGGTGGGAGAGCTGGCTGCACTTTTCTCCTCTGAGAGGGCACCCGCAGTTGTTGCAGGCATTCTGTGCTGGCAGCGGTCAGGGTGTTAATCCTTACACACTTGTTTCTCTGGATTTTCCCACCTTGTCTGTAAAGGGCTAGAGGTGAAAGCCTGGCTGTAAAAGGGGTGCTGGCCCCTCCTCTGATCTCCTGGTGGCTTCAGCTGGCGGATTGCAGATTTAAGCAGGAGACAAGAAATGGAAATTTCCTCTTGAAACTGCAGGGTTTTCCACACCGTCTTGCTGTATGAAAGAGACTTTGGCTCTGGATTTCTGCTGGTTTTCCTCTGGGAAGTCAGAGAGCTCAGTGGTTACCTCGGTGTCAGTCAGCCTTGCTCCATTAAAGCCAGTGGAGACAAACAGATTTACACCCGCTGGCCTGCGATCTTCTGTTGGCATGTGGCCAGTCCCTTAATTGTTCTTAAGTGACCTGTAATGGCACGGCTGTGCTGTGAGTGGCACGGGGTGAAATGCAGCCCTGCATGGTGTGACTGCTGCAATGGCAACACATCGATGTGAGGCCTGCTTGACCCACCGGGTAGCCTGGAGGTGTCACAGAGTAGGACGGGGCTGTGAGTGTGCCAGGTAGCTCCTACTATTGCTGGAAAGTGGAAAGCCCTCCATTTTCTTCCTGTTTTACATCAACTGAGGTTGCACTTTCCTCAGCTCTCTTCCCAGAGCAGCCTCCCCTGTGCTACCAGAGGTGAGAGGCCCAGGAGAACCCCAGAAACCTGCCAGGAACTGCAGTCCTTCCCTCTCCACTTGCTATCCACAAGGCTGGCTGCAGGCAGGAGAACAAACACCGTTCTCCATGCTCCTGGCCCCAAGGAGGCCCAGCCATGGCCTGGTGCTGCTCAGAGGCACCTGGAGCCCACTGCCCCCACCGTGTCCCCCCCTGCTGCAAGGTGGAGATGAAACCAGAGCCAGGGGAGCACGGCCCAGGTCTTCCCACCCTTTCTGCCCTCACCAGCAGTGAATAACTTAGCCGATGTGTTCACCGGCAGCAAGCTGTGGACTTTGCCAGTCATGAAACAAAACTGATTGTTGCCATAGGGATCTGGGCTTGAAAGTGAAGCTCATCCAATGCGGGAGCAAGAGAGGACATTGGACTTCTGTGTCCTATCAAAGCTAATCTGCACGGCTGGGATTCGGAATACCAGACAGTCACTATTATAATAATAATGTCATAAAATATCCGGATATCAAGAAACACAGACTTCTTTGGCATTCTTGGCAAGAGTGAAGTCAGGACCTTGGGGCTGGCCTGTGAGGGCAGTCAGTAGCACCATCACCAGTCCCAGAGCTCTTCCCATGAGGAGCAGGGGCAATTAAATCACAGCGGTGGAGGAATGCAGGAAACTTAACCTTGCTCTGCCTCATGGGTGTCTTTCCTGAAATTCCCTCCTCCTTTCCGGATGAACTCTAAAGCAGTGGCTTTGCCCTTGGAGCTGCAGCATGGTTCAAGTGTCCTTGTAAGCTTACAGGCTCCATCTATAGGATAATAGAAGAAGAGCCCTTTGGCTTCAAGCTGATGAAAAAGGGCAGAGAAGCATCGTTCAGAAATTCCAGTTTTCTTCTGGAAAAATTCCAGCATGCTCAGCATACCGTGTTGCGGAATGTCACCGATTTCCTCGTTGTTACTTCATATTTGGGTATAGTTTTCTTCCCTAGTTAAACTGTCAGCCCTTGCTCTCAGACTGCATGACCGTGGGGCTGTTGCCTGCGGAAATCACTTGGAGTTGTGGAGATGTTATCACTCCACATGGGAAATCTCAGGGATTTTCTAAAGAGCTCCTGATTTGTAAGATTTCCGTGCAATGGTTCTGATAGACTGCAGTGCCCCATATATAAAACTAAATGGTAACAATTAACATATACAAATCATCTAAATCCAGCTGATTTAGCGAATCAGTTTTCCTCACCTTGGTGTTTAATCATTGCCAGCCCCAGCCCACACTTCACTGCACCAGCTGCACCAGCAGAAGTAATTGCAGCTCACAGAGGTTTTTTAGAGTAAGAAACATAAGAGGTGAAAAACTTTTTTTCCTTCTTTTGTGCAAAGTAGAAGCCTTCTTGGCAATCTAAAATTCTCCACAGCATGCTTGATTTTATGCTCAGGGTGTAACTGTACTTTCTTAAGTACTCCACCCCAACGTTTCTGGTTGTGCATCCCCAACCAGCCCCACACACACATCTCCCCCCTAGTGCCACCTGCACATCCCAGCCATGGCTGGAGCTGCTCTGAGGTGCAGAGCTTGGCCATGGCTGGGCTTTTTCCATGGGGCTGTTGTTCCCACTGGGAACCCCTTTCTCTGCATTCCTGCTCTGCCACCTGCTCCAACAGCACTCTGCAAAGTCCTCTGCTCACCCTGGAGAACTCGCAGTCCTTCCTCATATTTGCTTAAATCAGTGTACAGAATAAAACCCAGGTTTTGCAGGAGAGATCAGTGGTTTGACATCACAGGAGCCAGGGTTACTCTGAAATGGAAGGTAGGAAGGAAGGAAGGGTGGAGGGATGGACAAATTGCAGGGCAGATGGAGAGTGAAATGTTTTTTAAAAGAGGTGCTGGCAACTGATACTGTTTCATATCAGCCCTCTCATACTGGAACTTCAGCTTCCATTTGCGCAAGAAATGCAGCTTCATCTTTTGTACCCAGAATTCTTCAAAGAGAGGTGCTGTGTTCCCAAAGAACAGGATTTTTTTTTTCTTCATTTCTTCAGATTTATTCTATTCACAAATGCTGCCCCCCCCCCCCCCGACTGTAATCTTTGCCACGTACTTATTAAAATGTCTCTTTCAAATAAACAAAAGCACAGGCATATCTAGTACTTGTTCCTTTCTCTCTCTCAAGATTAATTTCCCATTTTTCCATCTAACATGTCAGTCATTCAGGTATCTCCACAATCAAGAGAAAGCCCTGTTCCTTCCCTTTTGTAGATTCACAGATATTAAAACCAGAAGGAAATATGTTCTCAGCTTCTGGTCAGCAGACCTGAGCGCATGCGTAGAGCCGCATCTGTTTATTCCAATTATTTCATGAAAAGAAGTGCTTTTTGGTAGGCACTGCAGGAAAACTATTGCCCGGGTGCTAACACACCCAGCTGTCCTTGCAGAATGGCTCGCACAGCCCAGGATTACAAGGGCACTGTAGAAACATCGCTGCAGCCCATGGGGCTGAGGCTCACCTGCCTCGAGGAGGAGCAGCATGGGCATGTGGTGCTGTGTGTGGGTAGGGGACACGGAGAGAGGCTGCTCCTGGTGCCCATATGCCTGCTGGCTCCCTCGGGGGATGTATCAGATGGGTGTCCGAAGGCTAAGGTAGAGCCAGTGGGCACAGGGTACAGCAGGCAGCAGAGTCCCAGGGAAGTGTAACCTCTCCCCTGGCTTCAGCATCTGAATCCCTCCATTACAACCCCTGCTATGCAAATCTGATGCATTTTTTTCCTTTTCTTTCTCACACAGAGATCCCTGGGTGTCCAGGAATGGTTGAGAGCTGAATGGGCTGACCTCTTTTCCTCACCACCCTGAGCTCCTGAGGGCTCTGAAGGGATCGAGTGGGAGCACAGCCTTGCTTCTCTGAGCCTGGGGATGCTGCGGGAAGTGATCGCCTTGGCAAATGTCTTCATCTCAACCCCTAGCCCATCACGCATTGCCTGAAGGAGAAGCTGATGAAGGATGTTACCAGAGGACCAGGAAAGGCTCTACCAGCAGCACTTCAAGCATCAGAGGACGCAGATGGGGAACCAGCACTAAGAGAGGCACTTTGCAGGAGTCACTGCAGAGAAACCAGCTCTGGAAAGAAGCTACAAGAGCCCTGTGAACTGATGGAGGTGAAGGTCCGAGTCAGCACAAAAGGTGCTTCGGGGTTTTCCTGGCACAGCATCCTTGGAAAGCACTTTCGAAAGGGCAGGGGGGAGCAGGACCACGTGGCTGTCTCCAGTGGCTGGTTCAGAAGAGCCACAGCAAGGTCCCTGCCTTACGGCCAGGTCAGAAGAGTGGCAGGATGTGCCCAGAGCCCCCGTCCACATGTTGACTGGGGCTCCAGACAAACAGGAATCTGACCAAGACTGAGAGAGAAGGAGCATGGAAGATTGCTTTGGTTTATTCTGTGCTTGTTTCTCCTTCTGGTATCTTCTCTGTCTACCTCTTTTTCTCTTTAGCCCTAAATGTACTGCATATGGGGCACAGACCCACGCAAACAAGCAGGGGGATTAGCACAGGGCAAATCCTGCCCAGTGCAGTTTGCTGTTGCCAGATGGGGCTGACGTTGCACAGTGCAAACACAGCCTGGCCTTCATTTGCTCCATATGCCGACAGATCTGCAGCTGCAATGCCTGGACTTCAGCTGGGAGAAAGGCTCAAGCCTGGCAATCCTACTCGCAAGCAGTCATATGCTAGCACAACGAGCCACTCTTGGGAGCCAAGTTTAATACCAGAGCCCCAAAACCACACAGAGGATCCACCTCTCTGCTGTAGCTGTTGAAACAAGCATGCTGGCAGGCTGCACACTCAGCTCCTGCATCGCGGATTTTTAAAAATTCATTCAGCAGAGAAAGAGACAGAGACATAGGGAGTGACAAAGGCTCAGGCAGGAATTTTTAGGAAAAAAAAATGGTTCAAAACCACAGGGAATCTTGCACTTCTTAATTGTAGATGGCGTCCCAGCAGCAGACTGACACATCCAGCTGGGAGGCTGCAGGTCTCTGCTCAGCGCGCCTCTCCCGGATGCCTGGGCAAAACGAGCTGGTACTGACCTGTGTTGGGACCTTCTCTGTTGGGCTTCCAGCTGCAAAACCCTTCCCTTGTGTGCAATCGTATTTATTTATTTATTACCTTGCTGCTTGATGCAACGCTGCTAACAGGGCACCCTCCCCAAGCACCTCCCATGCTGGGCGAGGACGCAGAGAGGAAGCGTGTGCTGTACATCTGTCTGTGAGATGAGAGTGGACAGATGGACAGACAGATGCCTGCCCTACCCTCGGTGCTGTCTGCATGAAGCACAGAGTTACCAGGCCGGTGACAAGGGCACACAGTGGGTCATGCACATGCAGGGACAAGCAGGCTTCTGGGGGCGACGTGCAGCAGGTGTAAACGCCTCCATCACGCCGGATCCGGGCACGCACACGGAGTGTGGGAGTACCTGAGTGTGAGGCAGGAGGAAAAGGCTGCCAGTAAAACAGGAATGTGTTGCCTGGGCATGCACAAATTTTGGTCTTTGGAGAATTAAGAACAGGTTGGACAAACCCTTGTTGGGAAGGACAGAGGGACGGGAAGGACAGTGGGACAGATGTGTGCTGCATAAGCTCTGCAGAGCCCTTCCAGCCTCATGCTCTGTGTGCAGCTGAGTTTGTGCAGTGCTTATGCACGAATCACTTTTTCCTGCTTCATGCCCAGATCCTGCCCTCCCAGCTGCAACGAAGCAGACGTCCCCTGCCTTGGAGGAGCCGAGTCTCTGGGCGAGGGGCTTTGTCCAAACCTGTGTCGCTGCTAAATGGAAATATTTCCCAACCAAAAACCTGTTTCCTCAGAAGATTCCTGGCTGGCTCCAGTCACGTATTATGTACTGGAAACACTGCCCTTGGGATTAGCGTTCAGGTTAGAGACACGCATGGGATCTTTGTAGGTCTTTTTCTCACAAAGCCTCTCATGCTCGAGGGCAGTTTGCAATACATGAGATGGACGCACTTTCTCCAATAATTCACCAGAGCGGCCCCAAAGCAGTGACCTGCTTATTGCTGATTGCTTCCTTGCAGAGTCGTAAGAGTTGGATATGGAAGAGATGTATTACAAATCCATCTGCCTATGAACCTTCAGGCTTGTTCCATGTATTCCATTTACTGGTGGTATGCTCGGTCTATTTTTAAATGCACTGACACCAGGGTTAATGTGCTGTCCTTTGGGAGGCTGCTCCGTAGTCCAAGTCATGAGCTGCTATTAGCCTTGCACCTGCATTTCCTCCTGAAAATTTCATTCCATTATTCCTAGTGATGGGAATAATCTAATTCCCAGTTATTCCTTCAAATACCCGCTGCTCGTTATGCCCTGGGCAAGCTCTGCCACTTGAACTGCACTCCTCCTGCCTCCCCCACGAACCTCTCTGGCTCCCTGGTTTCTGCTGCTCTGTCCTTCCCATAGTTTGGCACAGAATGAGCCTGTTTGCTGTTAAATCAGAGGTTGGGGGTTTTTGTCAGGGATCTGCACCCAGGAGCAGAGCAGCCAGGACCCATAGCAGAGCCCGGTCTCCCCAGCTGCTTGGAGCTGCTCTCCACCTCCTTGCACAGCATGCATGGTACAGAAGCAGGGCAGATGCAGAGATGTGTCCGAGTCAGCAGTGAGCAGCTCACGTCCTACAGAGAGCAAATGCCTGCTAGGGAGAGCGCACAACCACCTCTCCATCTCTGCAAAACGCAGGCAGAGCGATGGAGAAGGGAGCACCTGGGCACCATAACCACTGTCTGTGCTGTGCTGCCTGGAAATCAGGTCCATGAGCTCAGCACCGAGGGCACCCCACATCCTGCTCAGCAGAGGGGTGCTGAGCACCAAGGCACGTGGAGCACGTGCTGGGGCAGCCTCGCGTGCTGTGCTCAGCTGGAGCACTATTGTGATCGTAAGAGCTCTGTTCTCTCCTCACTGAACAAATTGTTCCTACAAATAAAGAATGAAAAGCCCTCCTCTTCCCACTCGTCTTTTTTACACTATTCATCAAGCGGTGCTGCAGGAAGGGACAGCACCAGGGTGGGGGGAGCAGAAGTTGCTGCGCTCCTGGGGACACCAGGACAGCTCGTGGGGAGGTGCCAGGGGTCACCCGGGGAGGGGTCGAATGCAGGCAGAACAGCCAGGAAAGCAAATGCATAGGTCACAGGGGCAGGGAACTTCCAGGGATTTTGCTGAGGCAGCCGGGGTGCAGCATCTGCTGGGGATGGGGCTGTGGGACCGGGCTGGAGGGAGCTGAGCGACACAAGGCAGTCTGGGGTGGTGCTGGGCCTGCAGCTGCTGTGGTGTGGGGCAGGAGGATGGGAGGTCAAGGAAACCAAGGAGGAGACAAAAAGATGAGGGAGGATGCTGAGACTCCCAAGGGTTTCTCAGGATGATGATAAAGGAATCTGGAGAGTCCCTTGCATGTGGCAGAGTGTGCTCCTAGGGGCTCCTTCTGTGGCCAAACATCAGGTCGGTGATGCACCAGAACAATCCTTAATTGCCCCTCTCCATCTCCAGCTGCTCTCTCCTGTGAATTGGGGCAGGGTGGCGGTGACAGCATTACAGCTTTCCAGAAGCAATCGTCAGGAGAAGCATTTGGTCCCCACACGCCGAAAGAATCAAAACAACACATTTCCAGCAGAATTCATGATTAGACAATTAATCATTCCAATTTAAAACATCGGAGGGCCTGGAGGGCCTCGATACATAAAGATGTTCGAGGCTGTGGTTGTGCTCCACGGCTGGCAGGGAGCACGGGGCTTTAGGCAGCGTCTGCACTGCGGGTGCACGCAGCCTGGGAGCGGTCAGCTGGGGAGAGCAGCAGGCAGAGATACCCCGAGAGCCTGGGTGTCTTTTATCAAGGAGTAGCAACAGCCTCCAACTGGTGTTTAGCTGTATACATGTCCCCACAGTGCTATAGCTCCACTTTTTTGTGGGGCTGAGTACTGCAAAAACTCAGCATCCTTCCCGTCCTGCTTTCTGAGGACATTTCCAAAGTCATTTAGGGCTCAGAGGCTTTTACACCAGCCAGGTGCAGACCCAAGCGCCTGCACATCCACAGTAACAAGGCTTGTCTAGCCTATGCAGGCCTCCAGCAAGCTAACAGGACGCATTTTCCCCATCTCCCAGACTTCGTATCTGGATTTACTGAGCTCTGGGGTCAGTCTGGGTTTTTTGGGACTGGATTGTGAGCCTCATTTTCCAAGAACACAACCAGACGTCCCATGATGTGTCCAAATATCTTTCTGAAGTTCCTGAAGCTTTAAAGCAATCCTGAGAAAAGAGCTGTGAGATTATTGCAGCACAAAACTGCAATAAACCTTTTCTTCATCCTTTCATGGTTAGAGGTATGAACATGAATTATGGCAGCTTAAGCCTCTTGAGAGCAGCATGTAAAATTGTTTTCTCAAACTGCGGGTAAAGAGCCTTGTTAAGCTAAGATGTCAGCGCTCACAAACGCTGCTGTCTGAATGGGGCTCTTTTACGAGCCAGTTTAATCCTTCCAGGAATTGAACGACCCCTTTCTGCCCGCTCTGAGCATCACATTCACCCCTCGCTCCCTGCTTCCCTGCCTGTTTGTTCGCTCGAGGCTCTGGCACTGTCATCCCTTGCAGCAGACGAGATGTCTTGCAGCTTGAAAATATAACTTTGATAAAAAAAGAGCCCCACGTCTGGCTAGCTTACCTGCTACTTGGCAGATAGCAGAGGCTATGGAGGAGTCAGGGGTTCTTCGGGGGCAGCCAGCAGCAAAACCAGAGAAAAGAAATGTTCAGTGCTCCAGCTGCAACTTTGAGGGCTGCTCTGCTAGCAGCCACGCAAGCTAACAGCCCAGCAAGCCCCGTGGGTGCCTTCCTGCAGAGCCTTGCCGATCCTGATGCAGATTTCCCTGGAGGACAGAGGGGCATTGAGGGGACCCTGCCCCCAGCAGCAGCCCCCACACTGACCCCAGAGCCATGGTTCCCCCGGCGTAACTACAGCCCCGCGCTCAGGGTCCTCCATCCACAGCATCCTTTTAAAAACCACACGGCTGGGCATAGACAGCAGCGAGGTGCTTGCCCTGCCCCGTATGCCTGGCATAGCTTCTGGAGGACGTGCCCCTTTTCCCTGTCATGCTTCCCTGGCCTGACACCACCCCGAAGGGCGCTGCTGCCATGGCACCCACATCAGCCCTGAGCCTGCCTGACATCCCAACCCAATTCCTGAGGAGGCAGCCCAATTCCGGAGCTCCCAGACATGCTTGCTTCCAGTTCCAGAGACACAAATCCCAGCAATTGTTGGATTAAATAACTTCGTCCCGGTAATTTACCATAATTTTGATTAACACGGGAGAACTTTTAAATCCCAGGCACTCTATTCTGGTCTCTATGGAAACTGATTTAAAAAAATAAATCACCTTTCAATCGCACAGTCCCGATGCTGGGGAGAATGGCTTTGGCTCATCGGCTGGGGAAGTGATGGGGGCTGGGTTATTTGCCTGCTTTTCTTTTCAAACGTGTCTGTCAGTGGAATTTGTAACAAAAATGTGAATCTGCACAGACCAGGCTGTCATCTGACAGCAAGAAACAAAAAACAGGAAGACAGGGTGTTACAGAGATGGAAATTATGGTAATTAAAACAAAAAACAACAGCAAAACATTTCCGGGCAGAGACTGATTTACCAGTGCTGCTTCTCTAAAGACTGTTGCAGCTTGAAACTGAAGGAGTAGAAAAATATTTAATGCAATCATTAACCATTTTGCTGTTAATCCCGGCTGCAGGCTGTACGGCAGCACACTTGTTTAAGAGGTAACAAACTGCCTCTCGAAGGGCGATTTTTCTACCAAGGTTACATGAGCAATTTGTAGTAGCTTGGCTGGAGATATTTGCAAACGCTCAGACCGATGCTGGCCACTCGGTCTGCTCTTTTCCATGTCCGTGGCCCAGCCGTGGGGCAAAGGCACTTGTAGCCCCCCCCGTGCCAGCCTTCCCTGTGGCCCCCCCAGGGGCACTGCCCCTGCACAAGCCCAGCAGGCTGCTGCTGCCTGCAGGGAGCACGTGCACCAAGGGTAGAACCAGAGGGCAATTGCACAACAAACACCAAGCTTGTCGAGGCAGCTATTTGGAAAAAGTTTTTTTTTTTTCCTTAAGTGAATATTTGTGTTTGAAAAATCAGACTTTTTTTTTTCCCTTTAAATAAATAAACCGTATCTCCATCACCCCATTCCTCCCCTTCCCAACTCTACGCAAAGTGCACCGACCCCCAGGTTGTTCTGCTTTCCCCTACCCTTCCTCAGTTGGGAAAGTTTTTTTTATTTATTTGTTTTGCTTAAAAATAACAGAGAAGGGGGAGGGGGAGAACCAGAGTGCCCTCAGCATCGCCTAGACAAGTGCATTCAGGGACAAAGCAAACAAAGAGGAAATTAAATTTTTCAGTTTTCTTTTATCATCAAAACCAAAGCAAAATGAATGCATCAACCCAAAATGAAGCTTGCCATGTTTCAGAGGTGCCCTTATGGAAATGAAATCATAAATTATGTTTTTGAGAAAAGGAGATGGGTTTGATGGAATCAGACCCTTTCATCCCCAGACTGTGGCCGTTTCCATTAAATGGTACTTCCAGCTCTCCATCCTGTGGCGGTGGTGGAGTACTTCTTCATGCTGGTCCCTGCATCGATTCAGGAAGGTTTTGATGAGTGGGACTTTTGCCAAGTCCCACTTGGCAAATAAGCTCTGGGTGACCGAGCCTTCAGGCCATGTTCATCCCTGAGGACACAACATCCCCAGCACCCCCACAGCACCACAGATGAGGCCAGCAGGGCTGGGGACATCGGTGTGCAGCAGCTGTCTTGGTTTCCCTCCCTTCCCTCACCTGTTGACCTGCTGCAGGCAGAAATTATACCGTTCCTGGGTTGATTTCCATGGTGTGCCTCCTGGCATTTTAACCCACTTGGGGATTTTTCTTTCCTGATGCCTTTCGATGCCATGGGCTGTGCTGGAGGTCCAGCTGAGGGTTTGCAGTGTGGAGAAGGGCAGACATGGCTTTTAATTCCTGTGCTGCACCTGCAGCTGGTGCAGTGACATGTCTGGCCATGGGGTACCAGCACGCTGCCAAGAAAGAGAAATTGCCCCTTTTTTTGAGATCACCACGTGGGATGGAAGCAGGCCCTGCAGGAGGGCTTGCAGCAGGCTGGCCGTGGTGCTGGGTGAGATGGAGCAAGTGGAGGCTCCTCAAGCACACTTCTTCTCTCTGAGCCCAGGGGGAGCGGGGTACACGTGGGTCACACTTCAGCTTCGTGCTAATTGCCCAGAAATGGCCTCAAAGCCCCTGGGATGAGGAGCAGGCTGGGGCTGGCGTGCTCTGCACAGCCCGGCACCTGTTGCTGTCGTGGCCACGCTCGGCGGGGGCTCAGCGCTATTTCTGGAGCATGCCTGAGGGCAGGAAGGATTAATGTGCCCCACATACAGGAGGGCCAGGCTGGCTAAGGAGAGAGGGCTCAGCAGCAAGCACTGCCCCAGGCAGGTCAGGAAGGGCTGCCTCAGACCTCCCCAGCAGGGCAAGATGCTCGGGGCTCAGCACCAGCAGGGATGATATTTGCTATTTTGCAGCAATGCTGGGATGGCAGAAAGGCACGGGGCTGGTCTCCCCATGCAGTGCTAAGAGAAGCATCCTGCATCTGCACCAGGCTGGGATAGACATAAACCCCAGATGAGGTCTGAAGGAGGGAAGCAGGGATGAGAGGTGTTTTTTCTAGGATCAGGGAGCTTGACTGATAAGGGACAGTCTGCACAGACCACACAACCCAACAGAGGAACTTCACAGGAGAGGATTTTCTTGTTGATAGGAGCCAGATCATGTGGTGGCACCCACAGATGCCAGAAAAGCTCCAAAGTTGACAAGGATACACCGGCAGGGCAAGTCCTTGGAAAGCTTTCAATGAGTGTTGCTTTCATCCTGCTGCGAACAAGTACTCCACATTTTCTACTGCCTGGA